AATATGAAGATTTAAACAAATAATTTATCTTTTGAGATTATGAGTAAAATAAAAATTTTAAATTATTATTAATTAACGGATAAATTAGATGTTCATCAGTACGCACATAGAACGTGAATTTTATTCACTAAATTTATTATTTTGTATTTCATACAATTATAAATTTAAATTAATTGTTAATTGTTAATTTGCTTATAAATAAAATAAATGATATAAGTCTATGTTATAATACTTTTATTAGTATTAGTTATAGTTTAATTGAATTATTTTATGATTTCAATATATATACATCTAAAACAATTGTATGATATTTCTTCTTGATTATAAGTAATGGTAAATCGAATAACTGTATGAAATTTACATAGTTTTCTTAAATTAGCTGTTTTTAGTATGATAAAAAATACAGATGTATTAAATTTTAATAAAAGCATTCTCCTTATTAAAAAAAATATATATTTAACATCTCCTTGATTACATTTTATTACCACTTTCATTGCATTCGGTGTACACTATGTGTAATAAATTAAAAAAATATTTTGTATACGAACGAATAAATATTTTATATACGCATGATTTTGCGAATCATTGGTATAGTTAATTTTCTATTTAAATATAGAATTTTTAAAGATAGATAAATTATTATTTTATTATGTTTTGAATATTACAAACTCATAATTTTTCATAGAAATTTCTATCAAATACATTGCCAGCAAAATTCTGTTACTTAAAAAAATAAATAATTCTGTTATTTAATAAAATAAATTTGATATTTCAAAATTTGGTTCAACATGTTTGTTCGAAATTGAGGGTTTGTTTTGTGACTCCAATTCAATAGTTCAGTGGATTGGACTCTCGCCGTAGTGGTTTGAAGGAAACGGCGCAAGTGGAAGGGTGGAAAGCACTGTATAATATATGTTATGAATTAAGATATTGTTTATTCTGGTTTATTAATAATTATAATATATGTATAATATATTTATAATATATAATATATATATATATATATAATTATATAATTATAATATATTATATAATTATATATAATTATAATGAGAATATAACTGAGAAGGGAGTATGGAAATATTAGAGGGCTAGTCATACGCAAGAACAATGATGATGTGCCTTCAAGTATGAAAAGACTCGGTACAATGGAATTATAGTCGACTATTTGTTGAATTGCAGTCTGCCCTTGATAATGTAATTAAGAGGACTGGAGAAGTGAACGAACGTTCTCTGGCACGAAAGCACTGAGAGAGCATACTGCGCCACCTTTCCTTAATGTGGTAAAATGAACGAACACTCTTGGCAACGAAGGCTCTGAAAGAGCGTACTGCGCCACTTGCTGAGGTAAAGAAAGAGAAGTGAACGAACGTTCTCAGCAATGACAGCACTGAGAGAGCGTACTGCGCCACTTTCTTGGCAGACTCGATATGAAAACGTGATTCGAGCGTGGATGACTAGCTTGTACAAATAATGAAAGGGGTGTACCCTAGGACTACCGACAATGTGTACTGAATGACTGCTTGGCGGGTGCACTTGATTGATTACAATTTTGGTTGCTTCACTGATGAATTACTAACCTGTTATTGCAGATACTGAGAGAATTACGCACGTATGCATTGCAGGCTGATAGCTAGGCATGCGACTAAGCTTCGTAATCGTAAGTTATAATTAATACTTGATAATTGAAAATGCACTAATTAGTAATAGCAAATGAGTAAGCAATCGATTGAATTACAGTGAGCTATAATTGATAACTGAGTAGATAGTAAAAACACGGTGAGCCAGGTGCGTGGCGACTGAGTGGATGTTAAAAGTAGAGCCACGGTGCGTGGCGCGTCTCTCTTAAATATTCGCGTGGTAGCTTGCGACGCCGGCAGCAGCGCCGATGCCTCTTGCTATGCTGAAAATTGTCGTGACGTCAGAGAACGAAGCTCTGAAAAGTTCTAGAAACGTCGAAGGGCACAGCCTTAGAAGGTTCTCGAAGCTTCATCGGCGTTGCTATGCGGAAAAATTTCGAATTTAAGGCGTAGGAAAATTCCTGGATTCGCTGAATTGTGTTTACAAACTTGAATGTCCGAGAGCTTGTACTTTTCCCAATTTAAATTCTTGAAAACTCCTCCAATTCCTGAAGAATGTTACTTTGGAATCACATTAAATTTTCATAAAATATATGTTTTTTTATGAATATTTATGTTCTTGTGAATTTCCTTTGTTGCAAAATATTTTGAAAAATGCAATTCGATAAATAATTTATGTACAATTACAAATAAAATTTCAATATAAATATTTATATTAATTAAATGAAGCTTAATTATAAAAAAATTAGAAATCCATCGACGTATTTGACTATGTATATTAATATAAATTATCTATATTTTAATTTTATCTTAATATAGAAGAAAGAAGAAGCGACAAAGACAACTATTTTAAACTGTATTTTATTTTTATCTTTATGCATTCCTCTTTTTTTCTTTATCTAATTCTTCTCCCATTCTCTAGATCTAAAATTTGGTCTTTATCTACACTTTTTCTCTTTCGACTTTTTTTCCATTTATTTTAATTTTTATTTAATAAATAACTTGTTATTTAATAATAAGCTTCGATTCAGTTTGTAATTATTGTATTCAATTATTTTATGTGGAGAAAAGATAATAAAATTTTTAAGGGATTTGTTAATGAAACTTTCGGCTGACAAATCATTTAGAATTTAACTATTTTTTACAGTTAATTATAGTTTTTAATTATAGTAGCAGAATTATACAATAATAAATAATAATAAATCGATAAAATCTATTAATAAAATGAATTAAAGAACGAATCTTTTATGATACTAAAAATGTGTCAATATTAGATTGTTTATTAGTATACTAATAAATATAAGATTAAAGTTGAAATTAGTGTTTTACTTACGTAATTTTTAATCATAAATCTTAATATATTTGATATTTAGTTAATGATTTGTACTAATTATAAATTTAAATTAATTTTATTTTATTTTATTTATATACTCATGTTTGTTTAAAGGATATATTTTATTTTAAATATAGTTATCTGTTGTTTAACTAATATTCAGTAGAATATATTATATAAGTACTATATAATATGTAAATTTTTCATAATATTTCTATTTAATGGTATTAATTTAAAATTTTTAGATTCTGGACATAAAATAGAAAATAAGTTTTTAACATTTATTTAAAAAGTTTAAATAATACGTAATATAAGTAAATAAATTTAAACTTTTGTTGAATTATGAATATTAATGATGTTCATAGTATTATAATAATACTTTCCACGAAGATATAATATCTATTTAACTATGAAAAACAAATAATATATTTAATATAAATTAGAAACATTAATAATTACACATATAATTTGATACAAGAAAAGGATATTAAGTAAAAAATATATTTATATTTTCCTATTATTCTCATTTGTAATCAACCAATTCTAAATGCGTTATTAAAAAAAAAATAATGATCGTTTTATTTAAAAATATTTAATTTAATTTGATGCCAAATGTTTACAATCAAGAAGTTTTCAATAAGTTTGTTGAATTATACGAAAATTATTATTTTTAGTATTAATATTTTCAGTAAGTTAATTTATTTAACGTTCATTTTGCATTGAACGTTTATTTAATAATTCATTGATAATAATGCTGCTAGTATAGACACAATATTAATATGTTTGAAAAAATGGTACTATGTAGAAATAACGCAAAACAAAACATACATTTGAAAGATAAGTAATATTAAAAATAAATAAATTGTGTTATAGATAAGTAGAATATTTGAAAGGTATCTTATGTATGAAATACATTCGAATCATATCTATTTTCTTTTCTAAAATAAATACGTTAAGCATTTATAGTAAGTGATCAGTACTTGTTATAAAATTGCAAATATTTAGAGTAATTTGGAGTTGCTTGACAAGTACAATATTTGGTATTCTCAGCCATTCATTGATGCTGCTCGTGTCATTTATAAATCTCACGGGGTGCAATTAGGTGGCACAGACGGTTATATGTCGATTCTAATTCGGTGCTTAACAAGGAGCAAAGGCAATCGCTGCGTGAACACGATTACATCTGTCATTCGGGTTACGAAATTTGTATGGAGTCGAATTCAAAATTTCAAGCTTCTCATGTTTCTTTTCAGGACACCGCTTGTCGTGGCGTAGTTAAAATTAACTTTGAATGTTTATGAAGATGATCATCAACTTGGCCATTGCTGCAACGTTTATTCACATACGTGTTTTTGGAGATTTAATAATACAACACGAGTTTTCCCCAGTTATGTGTTATTAACGTTCGAATTATTTTGAAATTTTGCTACTTGGACATATTATTGAATGAAGCACTCAGAGTTTTTTTTTTTATTTCAATATTACTTGTTCCATTGAAGTGTATTTATACTTTTATGTATTTATTTGTTTGAATGATTTATTTAACAGTGTATATTTTATAATGATCATTTATTTTATAGTTGTTATTCTATATACATCTATTATGTGAATAAAACTGAAAGGCTTGTTAAAATAATTATAAAATAAGTAACTTATAAAAAGAGTATAATAATTGTGTTGAAATTTCTAAATGATTACAAACTATCATTATTGAAGTAGTGATTTATACTTTTTATAAGATTTAAATCATTTTACATATTTGTTTATAATATTTTATTTATAAACAATAATTTTATATTTTTTGTATCAGCAACTTTTGAGATCCACTATTTTATATACTTTATTTTTATAAGCTATAATTGTAACGAGAAGTGTTCGGAAATTAATTCCACAATTCAACTCGTCAGCCAAACGTGTAATAATTAACTTAGAACAATAAAACCCACTAGATGTTATGTGGGGTTGCCGGGCAAGTAAAGGGTGAATGCACTGATTAATAATTAACACAAGTCTTTATTATTTCTATGTATGAAGCAGGTTATAATCTATTAAATATTATCACTGGAGGTTATGATTGCTGTGGTGCGTTAATTGAACGCGGCACTGTTGGCGGGTTTATTTAACACGTGTGCAGTCGACTCTAGTGTTGGGCGTAAGAGCGCCTTTATCCAGAATAATCTTGAGCTTTCCAGACTTCCACAAATAGTGAGATTTGGTGAAGACGGTTCGTGTGGTTTTGCATGGGCAATGAATCTTATGCATGCCGCAGTGATTCTCAATAATTTTGGTAATTGCGAATGTTTATGCACTAGATCCCAGTGGTAATCGGGTTTTGATATCGTTGCTGCGAGAGATATGCCGGGTCGGGCTTCTTGCTCCGATTGTTTATCAGCTTCAGTGGGTTGCTCTGGCCAGGAGTCTGGATCGTGCAGCCATGAAGGTCCCGTCCACCAAAGAGGGTGATCCTTCAGTTGATTGGCCCGTAAACCTCTTGAAGCGCAGTCAGCAGGGTTTGCTTTTCCAGGAACGTAATTCCATTGATAATTTGATGTAAGCTCTTGTATCAAGGTGACACGGTTTCTTACAATATCCTTCCAGCGAGATGCATGTGATCTTATCCATGTGAGTGCGACTCTTGAATCCGTCCACAGATGTGTTGCTGTTATCTCCATGTTTAGAGTGTTCCTGATGTATTGCGTAAGTTTTGATAGTAGCAATGCCGCTGTTAGTTCCAATCTGGGAATAGAAAGTCGTTTTAACGGAGCAACCTTAGTTTTTGAACATATCAGTATAGTTTGTTGTTCAGACGCGTTGTGGACGGTGAGGTATATTACTGCAGCCATGGCTAATTGAGAAGCATCAGAAAAGCCATGAAGTTCAGTGCTTGACCCGTTTCTTGTGTTGAGCCATCTTGGGATAGTGATCTGGTTTAATTCTAACAAATCCTGTTTTATAGCTCGCCATTGAGTTGATAATCGTTGTGGTATCGGATCGTCCCACTTAATTTTATGCAACCATAATTCTTGGAGGAGCATTTTTGCCTTAATTACCACTGGTGATAGAAAGCCCAATGGATCGAATATTTTGGCTATGTTGGATAGTATGGTTCGCTTTGAGGTTTTTTCGTTGTCCGCTGATAAGGTTGTAGCGAAGGTAAACTGGTCTCTTTGTGAGTCCCATTGCAAACCCAGTATTTTTGGAGTGTCGCAGTCGAATGTAATTATCGCTTCTTGGTTTCGGTCTGCGTTAATTGCGATGATGGTGTCTTCATGTGTCGAGTGCCATTTAGCTAGAGGGAAACCGCCCGCATTACAGAGTTTCTTCAATTGTAGTGCAATTTCAATTAGTTCTTGTTGTGTGTCTGCACCTCCGAATATGTCGTCTACATATCTTCCTTGAGTAATGCAAGGTACGGCTAAAGGGTAATTCTTTCCTTCATCCTCCACTAATTGTAGTAAAGTTCTGACTGCTAGAAAGGGCGCGGCTCTCATTCCATATGTGACTGTGGTTAGATAATATGGTGTTTCATTCCCTTTATCATCTATCCATAAGATTCGTTGCAGTACCCAATCATCCTTGTGTACTTTTATCTGTCTGTAAATTTTAGTGATATCCGTTGAAAATAGAAATTGATGTTTACGTATCCAGATTAAAACGTCAGTTATGTCTGGATTCAAGTTAGGTCCTGCATGCATTAAATCATTAATAGAACATCCGGAGGTCGTTAAGCTTGAACCGTTAAATACTACTCTTAGTTTTGTAGTCGCACTGTCGGGCTTAAATACTCCGTGATGTGGCAAATAGTAATGCGGTGTATTAGATGAGACTGGATTGGCCTTGGT